TCAGTCCTTATCACGCATGCCCGACATAGCTGACTGCATTCTCCCCTTCCCAGTCATTCCTTAAGGCAGTGGTCCCCAACCTTTTTTATGCCGCGGCCCGGTACCGACATCAGCTGGGCACCGCCATCTTGTTTTGATGAAAAAGTGCTTCCGGTGAGCTCACCGGAAGCACTTTTTCATCAAAACACCAGAACAATTTTCATCAAAACACCAGAACAATTAGACACAAGGGGAGTTTTCCCCCGAATGCCATCACTCTGCTAAACAAATAATTCCCTCGACACTGTCCAACTATTGACAAAGTCTGCACTACTATTAATCTTCTCATCACTCCTTATCACCCATCCCCTCCCACTTGTGACTGTATGACTGTGTCGCTTGTATCCTTACAATCTACTGTATATGGGCTGTTTCCTAGTATACTTGATTGCTTATTGTACCCTGTGACTTTTATGAAGTGTTCTAGCTGATGATTCTTGACGAATGTCTCTTTTCTTTTATGTACACTGAGAGCATTTGCACCAAGACAAATTCCCTGTGTGTCCAATCACACTTGGCCAATAAAGAATTCTATTCTATTCTATTCTAGTCTAGTCTAGTCTATATTCTCTTCTCTTCTCTCTTCTCTTCTCTCTTCTCTTCTCTTCTCTTCTCTTCTCTTCTCTTCTCTATTCTCTCTATTTTCTTCTCTATTCTGTATTCTCTATTCACCATTCTCCTTTCCCTATTCTATTTTCTATTTTCTTCTTTTCTCTATTCACTCCCATCTCTATTCTATTCTATTGTCTCTTCTCTATTCTATTCTCTCTGTTATCTTCTCTTCTCTTCGGGTCACCAACATCTAAAGGAGAGGCAACCAAACTTGGAGATTTCAAGATCTGTGGACTTCAACTCCCAGAATTCAATGCGTGGTTTTGCTCTGGTTTAGTTCACCACCCAGTTGGCCTCAGTTTACTAGCCTTTTTTTGGTTGCCACTGTTGTGAAGCAGGTCACACTGTTGTTAAGTGAATCTGGCTTCTCAGAAGGTCGCAAAAGGCACGACCCAGGGACCCTGCAACCTTCGTAAGTGTGAGTCAGTTGCCAAGCACTTGAACATAAATCACGTAGGGATGCTGCAATGGTCGGAAGTCTGAAAAATGGTTGTAAGTCCCTTTTTTCAGGGCTGTTGTAACTTTGCATGGTCACTAAGTTGAGGACTACATGGAGATCCTAGTGCCTGGAGCTAGCGAGGGAGCTAAATTTTTCAGCTTTTGAAAGGAGAAGTTGGTTGGGTGAAGGAGCATCTGTATTCCCTGTTCTCTCCCCCCCTCCCAACCTCCCACCCTCCCTCTCTTTCTCCCTCTCCCTCCTTCTCTTTCCCTCCCTCCCTCCCTCCCCCTTTCCCTCCTTCACTGTCTTTCTCTCCCTCCCTCCTTTTCTTTCTCTCCCTCCCTCCCCCTTTTCCTCCTTCTCTCTCTTTCTCTCTTTTTCTCCCTCCCTCTCTTTCTTTCTCTCCCTCTCTCCCCCTTTCCCTCCTTCTCTCTCTTTCTCTCTCTCCCCCTCTCCCCCTTTCCCTCCTCTCTCTTTCTCTCCCTCCCTCCCTCCC